TTTTTCATATATATATATATATATATATATATATATAAGGCATCTTTTTCTGCAAAGGTCGACTAGCTGTATCGTCTCCAGGCATAAAAGCCCACATATTCGCCGGTCCTTGTACTTCTGGAACGACCCCACTGAAATGAGCTTCGCCAAGACATCTCAGATATAGGCACACGTTGGTCCTCTGTAGTACATACTATTCAAACTCGCCACCTAGCTATCAACAGTAGGGACTACTGACGTTGCCTATCATGTCCCTTGTGGGAGACGGGCAAAATGTTGTACGAAACTTAAGCTTGTGCCAGTCGTGAAAGTCGACGGAATCGGTGGTAGGATTGTCAGTGTTTCGTTTCCGAAATCTGATGGTAGATAATTCTCTCTCAGTATCCGACTACAATCACCCTCCAGGTATGTACGCTGGCCGGGGTATCATGTTTAGTTAATTGCTTGGGTAGTTGCGCATAGGAATCAACAGCAGCTGAGGCGTGATCTACGGTTGAGATATTCTTGTCAGCTGCAAAATGCTTGAAACTGTTTGAGAAGTCATCGATTCTGGGGAGTTTGGTAAATAGTCAATGAATTTTTTGCTGGGCAGCGTCTCGCATCGGACGCGAACAGTCGGGAAGTTGTACACCAAAATCTGTGAGCACAAGCAGTGCCCACCACCAAGAAATTCGGGCAATAGTTTGAGACTCACTAATAGACATAGAGCATAATTAGAAAATATGGAAGTTTTGGGACGGGGACAGAGATTCGCATCACAGAGTCTGGAGACCTAAGCGATAGAGATTTCCGAATATCCTAAGCTTTGATCTCGCGCATTGCGTGACTGACCGTGGCCGAAGTTAAGTTAACCAAGAATGGTCGAAATAATACGCACAATACCAGTAAAACCTTCAAGGCTGTACGCTAACTTGGTTGGACGAATGCTGATCATAGCATCGAGGCCGCAAGAACTATACAAGTTTGCGCATATGTATATTCGCACCTCGCCGGATGACCACTTTCTTTCAACTTGAACACCTCTGGAGTCGATGTGGAAGGTAAAAGGTATTGCGTGCAGTGTTGTTCTACAGTTGTGGAGCCTAGCCACTTTGCGTGGAAAACAAGAGAAGACTGCTTGTCTTTGACCATCGGTGCCTTTGAATTATTACATGTATATCATGGGAACATCGACTTAGTAAGGATGAAGTGCACGATTGGTTATCACGTGGAGACGTCCGTTCACGGATCGTCTGTCAAATGTAACTGCACAACTGGGCGAGAAATTGTGAATGGCTTTGTCCGGTACTTTCCAAGCGTCCTGATTGAGAGGTCCTCAAAGGCGGTTCAATCGATCCACAGAACCATGTTGTTTAGTGGGTCGTCGTTAGAGGGGTCGCAGAAACCAGTCATGTCACCCAAGGTTGAACCCATTTGCCTGTTTAGGTGCGATCAACGCGCGGTGGTGACCTATAATACGCTATCTTCGCATGCCAGATGTCCGGAATTGAAGTCCCGGGACGACCAAGGGTCTGCAGTGTTTTGCTGATGAGCTCTAATTAAAGGGAAACTCGAGTCCAATGCTTGCCCCCTTTGGTGTGGATTCACATGGATAACCCCTCCAGGGCAAGAGGGCTATTCAAACGAAGTGATGCCAACGTTATATTCATCTGCACCGATGGGTGCTCGGACACAGTCTGTGTCGTCACACATGACCTTCCGGGAGGCGCTTTTGCATCCACTTGAGCGTTCTGTGTCTGGTGTAAACTCGAGAGAATAAGTTCACAAACAGTGCGTAACTGGGTAGTTCTAAAGCCTCCAACGTGCCCGACTAGTGATCCGTAAGTGTCAGTTCCTTTGGGTACAACTGAACACCTGAGCCTCATAGTGCATGCATGGAATTATCTGGTGGCCCTTGCCACATGGAATAATCACTATAGACACACACGTATGGTTAGCCAGTGCTAGCCATCATTCCGCTTGGTTTAAAGAACGGTGATCACAGGATGTAATTTGCAAGTGTACAATTTGGAAATCTCGGGCATTGAGGTGAAGCTTTGCCGACCCGGATGGGAACAGTATGACAGTTGAACTCAATGGTATCCACTTCGGATAAACTGGGAGCTACGTTACTAATGAGCGGAACGCACACACGATGACTAAATATCACTTATGGGACGATCGCCGGCTTAGCACACTGACTTGTTCAGTGTACACTTTGATAGGTTTTGATCTCCGTGTCGGTGGTTGCAGAAGGTAACTATCACCTACGCAGACAGTTGGTTATAAGGGAATTTTAGCCTGTTTCTAATTGTTGTGGTCCATCTTTCGGGTTCCCGAAGAGTTGCAGCAGCTAGCAATCGCTGTTTGGCGTGAGCATTCATAAGCGACGGTGATTACGATCAAGTGAGCAGCTCTCTATGGAACCATAGTCTGTCCGCAGTATATTCTGATATTGTTCATCGTCTTCCTGAAAAGCAGCAAAAGGCACTTTAAGTGATGGGATGTGTCCCGTCCGGATGACCCTCTCTGTCCGTCTTTGTCTGTCTTTGTCCACTCAACCTAACGGCACCCCACTCACCTGCTCTTCTGATCAGGCTACAGTCTCCGTACACACGGCCACCTCGCTTGAAGGCTCGGTGCGTAGTGGGTCGTCGCAAACTTCGAACACCGCCTCTCCCCAGTCATCCATTTCACCTTCGTCTTCTGCAATTGGAACTAAACCGTACTACGAAAGCCCGCCCACTTCAACTTTGGCCGCAGCGCAATCACCCCGTGTTCGGCTTCAAAGACCGGAGTTTCTGAAGGTAAAGTCGAACAACGTTTTTCTCTATTCTGCTCATGCCTGCCTCTTCAATTTTATGTAGATCTGATACGGTACACAACCGGATTCCTCGCGGCACGCAGTCGATGCCGATTTTTATCCATTCACGTGAGGGGCCATTTGTGAAGTGTAGTCTGAAGATGCTGGTATAGTTGTTTACTAAGTTTGACGAATTTTTGGCCAACTCTTATGCAGTAGTTATTATAGCAAGATAGCAAGTGCGTTTCTGATCTGTGCACTTTCCCACAAAAGTGGCAAACAAGGCACCAAACGGGTGGGCGGTTTGGTTCAGCAGCGCTGACGGAACTCTAAGACCCACTAATTACGGTACCTTGGCCTCAGTCAGAGTGCCAACGAAAGGAGTTGGGACGCAAACGCATTTTCAGGCAATTAGTAATGATCAGGTAGGCTGTCCCAGCCAGTGTCAGAAATGTGTCGTACGGTAATAAACCGTCGGTTGTTTTCCAACCTTTCTGAAACTATGACTTCCTGATTGATTCCGAACTTTGTTTACTTGACCCAGGAGTCATTATTTCAGGCAATAAACTGTACCAGGGTCGTGGGAAAGTAAATATATCATGATGTCAAAAGACGTTGAAAACAAAAGGACGGTGTTTTTTAACTATGTCCGAACTGTGTACTTATGGCTGCCACATCATGAAACAATGAGGACTCAGCAGTCCGAACCTGACTTCTGCCTATCGACTTTCCTTGTCTATGCTTGGGCAACCTGGTAGTATCGCAGCCCTCATGCTTTCTTTGGGTGACATTGGGGCTAGGCACCAAAAGTGTGTTACGACTGGACGATTATTATTGTTATCAGTCCACACACTGGCGTTGTTGATTCTTGATGACTGGATCTCTCTTCACCCCTCTATTTCTGTTCTCACCTGCTTCTGCAACCAAACAGGTTTGATAAGTAAACGCGTATTCTTTTAGGTTGTTTCTAAATACGAAGATACCATATTTTACTACCCCAACATCTGTGTCGCCCTTGGGGATTCGTCCTCCAACAAGTTTCGAAATCTCAGATGCTTTTTGATGAACAAAATAAATATTCAGCAGAAAAGTGACCTTTCACGGCCATCCCATGTCATCTCACATATCCAATAAGATAGCTGACTGCACATTACCCTTACAAGTCACAACTTACCCTCCGTTCATACACACTAGGCTCTTTCACTTCTAGGCCGCACGGTCGTCTGTGGATGATGTTTTCGTTTATGAATTGATGTTAACTTTGACACGGCGGCATTCCCCCCTTTGCTCTGTACTGTATCCTCTCGCTATGGAGTACGGTTTGTACCAACCAAGTTTCATACCAGACTGTTGTATCGTGAACAGTTTTTCAGTCAGTGTCTCGATGAGCTTCAACTGCGCCAGCTCAAACTGTTGCTGCTGCTGTTTGAGGAAAGACTGGATCTGTTCAAATGAAATAGCCATTGTGAACACCCGTCTGCCAGTGTTGTACCGATGGTGACCTTGGGGATGCGTCACTCTCCTCTGCACATGTGCTGTTCTCATGTCTGGGAGCGTCCTGACACAGACGTAGTCACCTTTCATCTGGGTTCAACGCACCTATCTGGTTTACCCCATTAAAATCATAATCTGCTGCTCCAGGCTTATAGTCACCGGTTAAGAACCCACGTAGTTGCTGTCTGTGTAACTAATTCAGCTTAGAACGTACTCACTTTCAGTCATATCCGGCGTTTGGTTACCCAGTTTATACTGGGGAACTTGATGGAACCAGCATCGAAATGGATGTGGTTTCCCCCTTCTCTATCGTTTTCTGCGAGATTCGTGAGGTATGCACATCAGTACTGTTAGGATTTTCAGGATTAACTGACTTCATTTGCAGGACGAAAACGCGACTGACGTTTCATAAACCATTTGGCGAATATTACCTTTTCTTTTTATAACGGTAACTTTTCAGGTGGCGATTTTCAAACAACCAAATGGCTTCGGTTTTACTCTGGCAGACCATCCCCAAGGGCAGCACGTCAAAGCTATTCTAGATCCAGTTCGCTGCGGGTGTCTAAAAGTTGGGGATGTCATTGTCGAGATCAACGACCAGCGCGTAAAAGAAGTACCTCACGCTGAAGTGGTGCAATTATTAAAACAGTGTCCGGTCGGAAAGGAAGCTCGCTTGCTCATACAGCGAGGAGGTTAGTGCCCATTTCCATTTGGGTTATTTTTCCGGCTTGTTTGAAAGTAGTTTCCTTACAAGCAAAATAGACTGTCCATCGGAGAAGTGCAGAAAGGTATCCTTACTCCATTCAGCTTCTCAGACGGGGAGAAAGTGCGGTGGATATAATGTTATTTGCATTAATCTAAAACCACCTCTGGAAAAATGACAGTAACTCTACGCTTGTCTTCACTGGCTGGTTTTCTGACCGATGCGTTTCATGTATAGGATTAAACGTAACGCATCTGGACAAAAGAATTTTCTACAGTGTGGACAGTATACCAGAAATTTCTAGTTCCTCACTCAAAATGATTGGCAGTTCGACTGTACTGTTGCGTCGTATAGAGTGAAAACACTAAGATTCTTATGCTGCGTAGCAGCTGATTGCGTGCTGGCTAGTGGGGTAGAATCATTCACATCGATATCTACCGTCTATCAGCCGACTCTCGATCTCGTCAAGGTAATGGAGTTGTCACTTGTGTGACACTTGTGTGTGTCCGATTACATACTTGAGTCATCTTTTTATTCGTTTGCGGGTTTAGCGGCTTGCACGTACCTCCATAGGTCTCAATAATGCTGTACCCCTTTGTATTTCAACCTGTCCAGTTAGCGATCGTGATGGAAGTTTTTTCCTTTATTGAACTATGTTGGGCAGCGCAGTGGCGCTCGAATTTGCTACTTTGATTAACCGTTTAACTAACTACTTTGATTTCATCCGCCTGTCTTTCAATATTGGCGGATGATTCAATGTCTTTTTGCGTGTTTTCATACTTTGTTGGTGACGAATTCATCATCCCTTTCCAATAGTTTACAACGTCACCCAGAATGATTGTTTGCCACGCCGTTCGGGTCAACAATCTGATAAGACTCAATATTTAGCAGCAGTAATTTTGTTCGTTTTGATCAGTGTTGCTTTGGTGCGATGAGTCAGCTGTTTAGACCACATTTATCATGCTTCAAGTGCGGTAAGTAACATTGTTAACTCAGGTTATATGGATCGCCGTCAAACTAGGCAATTTTTCATCACCCGACGATGAAAGTTTGTGACTGGGCTGCACAGCCCAGTTGTTGACTATCGTGGGTGACAAGTCCAGAAGCGGTCTGCTTGACTGACCCATGATTGTGGCTGGGTATGCGAGTCGAGAAGGCTGAGTGTTAATTCTGTACCCGTATAGTTCTTTTGTCGCATGTTGTATGAATCTCTACTCAGAATAAACGGAACTCTTGAACTGATGCGCTGTAGAAAATTTCTCGCCTGGTTATCTTTTCAGTTCTACGAAAGAACTCTATCCAGACGTTTACCTAATTTATCTGAATTCATTTAAAGTGTCGTACATCTGCGTTCGGTTACATGCTATACAATGCGGGCATTTCGTGACAAAAAAAAAGCCACTCACCATGATCCCTTGTTATCCTTTCAGGACTGTATACATCACCATTATCACTAGTTACTTCTGACCGAGACGTTTCGGGACTATCCATCATGGGCTCAAAGGTACGTTATCGCTGCCGTATTCACTCAGTTGCATTGCCTTGAGGTGAGCGATTCACGTGTTCTTATCCTATCTCCAGTCAGAAGTCATTGCATTTACTCCTCATGGTCTGCTCAGGAGCGATCACTGAACAACCCTTAGGTCACCACTCTTGGCTAGGAGGATGTGTGTATGCACTCACATTGGGTTCACTATATCTACTCAGGAGCTCAAAGCAATGTCTGAACCTTTTCTGTTACTGAGTTATATATATATATATATA